ATGGTCACGGCTAACAATAGTGCTTGAGATAATATTGGACAGTACACAGGACACAGAACAGCAAAGGATTTCTGTCAGGATCAACATTTAATTACTAAAAAGGGAAGACAAAAAGCTTCCAATGGTATATTGAACATTGATCATTGTTAGGGGTTCACATACACGTTAGATTTTCAGGATACAGAAAAATGAACTCCACGTACAGAGGGGTCCTATTTTATGACAACCCACAGCTCATTAACGTCCATTAGGAAGCATTGGGCTTTGTGGGCCTCAATCTTTTTTTGAAGGCATCCTAGTCAAGGTGATCTGGGTAGGTGCTGGATGCCATGGATACTCATAGAACTAAATAGTATCTTTTGCAACATCTCTTTTAACAGTCAGTTCATCTCAGGAGTCTGCTCCTTATGGAGAGTGCACTACTCCATTGTACGTAAAGGAGGAGCAGAATCTTGCCATTGGTAGTCCTCAAGAGATGTAAGATATCACTAGCTGCTTATGACAGTCAGCCTCCACCCATAACAGGCCCTTCCAAGAGATCCATGGGAGGCCGGTGTTCTATCAAAGTTTGTGACTGCGTTAGAATGTGTGACCGGTGACGTGGTCACACATTTTAACATAATCCCGCCCAGTTTTTTGGCGGTGGAATGTGTGACTGGTCACGTGGTCACACATTTTACGGGGTTAAAATATGTGGCCAGTGTTCTATCAAAGATTGTGACTGGGGTGCAATGTGAGATCGCGGTCACAAAGTCGGATAGAAGTGACATTTCAGGACCGATCAGCTGTTCCAGGGCAGATCGGTTCTCCTGCACATAACATCTGCGTTCCTGATCTGCCCTGGAACAGCTGAGAAAGCTTGGAATTCTACACCTTTTTGCCGGTCACATATTTAAATCCCGGAAAAAATGGGCGTGACTACGTTAAAATGTGTGACCACGCGACTGGTCACACATTTTAACGCAGTCACAGACTTTGATAGAACACCGGCTTTACATGTATTGGATGCTCTCTATGATCCACTGGTGTCACCATCTCCCACTTTCTAAGACAGTTTTGTCTATATTTGCTCTGGCGTGCTGTCTCTCTCTGTACTCAAACGGCACCGGGATAAGTCCCCTCTCTCCCATCAACAATAATTAGCCTTGTAAGACTAATGGAAAAAGTCATGTCTAATTACCCCGTTGAAGGCCCAATTATACTATCAACGATTGCGGCCTTTAAGCTAATAACGAGGGGGAGCCGTCTCATTTGCATAGCATTAAGTTAATTGACTTGGTAGCTTCGGGGCGGATGCTGCTACAGATAGCAAGATTTCATTACCGAACGGATAATGATGACTGGAGACTAGACCGTTCACCTGTCAGTTTTATTAATTAACGGCTATCTTGTTACCCGCGGTGTCAGGCCTCTCCATAAACGCACTTGCTCCTTCTAGACCCCCCGAGCTTTTATTTTACTCTTAATGAAAACTGAGATAACTGTGCTAATTGTGGCTTGTAATTAATTATAAAGGGAAGGCTGCTCTTCTAATGTAGCTTTACTCCCGGACGGGGCCAGCAGCTGTTTGTGAATAGGCCAAAGGACATTACCAGCTTCTTGTCAATCTTCTGCTAATGCAAACAGGTCTCGTTTTCCAGAGAGATCAGATCACCGCCGGAGCTTGGAATGTACAAGAAATATCTATCCTGCCAGCGGCCTATGTGTTCATTTCATGCCATGCCATTCAAAACTGCAAATACACACAAGGGACACCCACTGCCGGGCTGGGGGGTCTGGTTCTCTTATCTGTTATTATCCTTAGTGGTGAGACAAGTTGTTTTACATGCTGGCTTGTGAGTGTGCCATGATGCCTTTCTACTGTTTTATGGTTCTCTTATCAATCTGGAATCTGTCTGTCCGTCCATCAATCTATCTATCTGTCTGTCTATCTGTCTCCTATCCATCCATCCAACTATCTATCTCCTATCTATCATTTATATATTATATTGTATCTATCTATCTATCTATCTATCTATCTATCTCCTATCCATCTATCTCCTATCCATCTATCTATCTCTATCTATCTATCCATTTAAATATCTCCTATCTATCTGTCTATTGTATTCTATCTATCGCATGTATTCTATCTATCTATCTATCTATCTATCTATCTATCTATCTATCTATCTATCTATCTATCTAATCTATCTATCACATGTATTCTATCTTTCAGGTAGCTAGTGAAACCAATTACCACCTACCAGGAACTCTATTGGTGAGATCTCTGTGCTGATCTCCTGGGTCTGCACACCTGTTGTGGCCATTGTGAGGGGCTCCCACCATTCATGCTCGATTTTAAAGGAGCATCATGGGGGTCAGTGTTTTTCCCCATAGTTCTCCTCATAACTAGCGTCCTCCTGTGACCCAAAGCTCAGTATATCGCGAGCTACTGCTTGCGCTATACTGAGACCGCCGCAGCCAGGACGGATCCCAACAATACTGTCGAGATCCACCCAGCTGTGTGAGTGACAGCTGGCTCTGCCTATCTAGAGGCAGAGCCAGCTGTGCCCGCCCCCTCTCCCGTCCGTTCCGCCAGTTAGTGCTGGAGGTTCGGACAGGGGTGGGGGGACCTTGCAGGGAGCCGTGACTGACTGTCACGGCTCTCTGCAGGGAGATGATTGAGAAGTGGGCGAGCGACGGTATATGTTCGCTCACTTCCTGATCTTTGGAGCTGACGTGTGGCAGTTTCATTGTCCGTGACCAATCTAGGACAATATAGCTGAACTGGAAAGTGAGCTGAATGGAGAATTTTTCCGGATCCGCTATGCTATTCTAGATTGTTCCCTTCTCCTGCCTTCTCCAAACTCTTCACACAGTGGCGTCACAAGGGGGGTGCAGCCCGCTACCAGTGGAGGGGTAACACCAAAATGACTGACTGTCATTTTGGTGTCACCCCCTATGAAAAGTCGGGCACTCGGTCACGGACTGAGAGCCCGACAGTGTCAGGAGAGAGGAGGGGACCCTCTCTGCCAGCGTTCATCACCAAGATGACCGCCGGCAGGCGTCAATAAGACGCATGTGCGATGATGTCTCCGCCCCCGGGTGACACCCAGCCTCAGGACGCCCCTGTCTTCACCCTTTTGTGAATAGCCCTGTTAGTGTATAATCAGAGAAAACCTAATATTATAGCAATCAGGAAATCCAGAGATTTAGACAATTGAAGGTATTATTATTATTAGTATTATACGGGATTTATAGAGCGCCAACAGTTTGCGCAGCGCTTTACAATATAAGGAAGACATTACAATCACAATACAAGACAAGTTGGTAAGGAGGGCCCTGCCCCTGAGGGCTTACAATCTAAAAGGGAGGGAGAGGTGATACATGAGGAGGTAGCTGTGTGGGGATGAATTGTTTGAGAACGTGATGGTATAAGCAAATCTCAACCTTTCCTGTAAAAGTCAAGCTTGGCTCCACCCCTTGATCCATCCCTATTGGTCTCTCAATGTGATGAGCAGGCTCACTGACCAGTAGGAAGTCTTAGGAGGCAGGAAGGCCGAGCTATACTATTTCTGTCAAGGTTGAGAATTGCATTTCCCTTCAGCTGTATATCTCTGAACCTGCGGACTGGTCAGGTGTGAGGAATTCTCTGGAAGTAACCTCTGCCGTTGCCTTTCTCCATCACATGACCAGAGTTACGTGACAGGGCCACTTTAAATAACGGCAGTTTCTGTCAAAAAATTTGCATCCCTCCTCCCAACCCCGTAAAGCCATCTCTCGCAATGAGTGTCAGCTAGATGTAAAACAAAATACTATCGTATGCTGTTGCCTTTAATCATGTAATTGCAGAGTGACATTTAACACGGAGGCTTCGTGTTACCTCTCCACCTTAATGAAGAGCAGAGGGTTCGCTACGTCGCACCCCTCCCCTCCCCCCCAGACTGGCCGGCCTACCAAGCAAAGAGCACTTTAACTACACCGAAGTTTGGCCAGGCTTCTACATATTACAGCAGCAACACGAACACATACAATTGAAGTATTTGAAAGCCATCAAATATGCATGGCTATCGGTGACAGCCCCATAAAGTCAGGCAATTAGCCGGGTAATCCGAGCCCATCGCAAGCCAGCCCGCGGTTCTCTATTAGTTAAATGCATTTTGTAGGTCCTCATTCCATCAAATCAACTAACACTTCCTTTAATTGGCTGATAAATTATACAGCCGGCCGCATTATAATTTAATAAGTCGTAAACATTCCATGGGCCCGCTGTAAAGTCTATATCGCGCTCATTAATTCCTTAATTTCAGCTGATGGAAGGGGAGATGGAACGAGCGTGCTTGTACAGTCAGCCTCGGGCTATGGAATAAGGAAAAAGAATCCAGGGGAAGGGGGGGAGGGGGTCCTTTAAGGATTTTTTTTTTTAACATCTGTGTTGGAAACTCAATCTGTGGGCTGTCAACAGTAGCAGGCACCCCCCCTCCTCTTCCATCTCCCTATTCAATGGACGCTAGTTTGTGTCCTCCCGTTACCCTTAGGAGAACTATGGGGAAAAGCATACTTCCTTATATACTGTATATGTAACCTAAGTGTTAGATGGACGTACGGACAGACAGATGGATAGCGATGTCTGTCTGTCTGTCTGTCCACTGATCTAGCCAAAAACCAATCAGATGAAGTCACTGTCATTGATCTATCACTCTGTCTGTCTGTGTTCCTCTCTCTGTGTTTTAGTCACAGCCTTCTCTGTACAAAAAAAAAAAAAGCAAAGAGCAGTGAAGAAGTACAGTAACCCAAAGCAGCCAATCAGAAAACATCTTTCAAACACCCCACTCTACTATACTGCAGTGTGATTGGCTGTCCCCAGCAGTCGATGATGCTCTGTCCCAGGTCCTGGAATGAGCCGTGTGCCTCCTTGTGCTGTAGCATGCTTGGAGAAATCATTGTCTCCGTGTCTCTTTCCTTCCTCGGCATATAGATCTCAGTGCACTAATCACATCCCTTCATGTGTCTCCCGGCAGGGTTTTCTTCCTGGATATCCCAGACGATGTTGCTGTGGAGCGCCTGTCTTTGCGGATGACAGATCCGGTCTCCGGAGAGAGGTTGGTTGACAGTTATTGTTTCAGGGAAAGTCTCATCAAATCGATCCGCACAACAACATTTGCACTGATTATAATAAGTCTGTACACGACATGAGCGGAGTCTGGCCGCCGCGGATGAACGTTCCCGCCGGTGGCCGCTTCCGCAAATTAAACTGGAAGGAATCTTTCACTTTTCCTGTATTTACTAAGAAGCGCAGCCAAGGATGAACTTCTGTCCTAAACAGGAGAAATGATTTGAATATAGTTGTGAGGAAACGTATTTTAATCCCATTTAGAGATCTTTATGACACCCTGACACAGTTTACTGCACTGAGGTTTTGCTTTTTGGCTTGTGGGGGTAGAATTTGCTTTATTTTTTATCTTTTGTACTTCACCGCCGGGTCTCATCCAACTCAGGTACATGGCAGGTTGGTCTTTTTTGGCAGTCTTGATGTAAGATTGTGTTCCAGGAGTACCGGACCGTTATATGGCGCATATCTTCCCTTTAACGGACACGTAGTGTACCCTAGCTTAGTCTTATTTTGAAGAAGAACTCCGGGCTGTTCACTATAGCCCGTACTTAGTCACTATAGCCCGTACTTAGTCACTATAGCCCGTACTTAGTCACTATAGCCCGTACAGCTCCCAAAGCTGGCCGAGCAGAAGGCATATGCTTCGGCTCTACTGAGCCGAAGTGAATCCCGAAGCGGGCCGAAAGCCTCACAACTGACAGCTGGGCGGAGCCCAGTTGCAATGACAGGTCAGCGTCCCCAGGACACCTGGGGACGCTGAACTGTCATTAAACTATGATAACTTGGCGGAGCCGGCCATGACGCCGAGTTGTTATTTATTGCCCAGGACCTACTGGAGGACTCTAGCAGGTCCCGGCCAATAGGAAGCAGTTCGGCGGAGCTAGCAGTGCTGTCACTGCTAGCTCCGTCCAATTGTTTCTTTCTTTTTTTTACATTATTTTTTTTTAAATTGATAATTTCTTTACATTTGTAAACATTTTTTTTCTTTTTTTCCCCAACTTTTTTTATTGTTTTTCTACCACGGAGGTACCGAGCAGAATAGCCTGAGCCAAATGCCGCTCGGCGGCATTCGGCTATTCACTCAATGCTGTTCGGCCCCTATGAGAATGGACCGAACAGCAGCGAGTAGCCTGCTGGAGCTTCAGCTCAGCGATCAGGATGTTGGATCGGCTGAGTCGAACTCCTTCTGCACTTCAGCTCAGCCAAACATGCCGAGCATGTTTGGCTGAACCGAAGCCAGCCGATGTACGGCCGTTATCAGCCGTACCAGCCAGAAGTGAATAGCCGAGCAGCGCTCGGCTCACTTCACTGCGGGTCGGTTATTCACTCGGCTGCGTTCGGCAGCTTTGTGAATAACCCTGTAATTGTAAGACATTAAACACCTTTCATTGTGATGCCCCTGGAATGTTTATAACCAATCTAAACTAAGTACAATTGGCATTTAAATAAAAAATGTTTCTCTGTGTAATTTATATTAATATGTGTACATGGGAGCAAGCTTGTTTGTTCATTACATATGCAGACTGTGCTTCCTGTTTTAACAGTGCTGAACAATGATGACCAGGGCTTGAAAACAGACGAGCGAGGGCGGAGCCCAACGAGCAGCTTCCCGGCCGCCCGTTGTAATTACACGGCCGGCCGGGAGCTTTACATTCAAGCGATCGAGCGTCTCTATAGACGCTCGATCACTTGCATCAGCAGCTGTCACTGCCGTTGCCGGTCCCGAGATCCGCTGTGCCCGATGCGGCCGGGACCGGCACGTCTCTGTGACAGGAGATCAAAGGGAGTTCCGTACCTGAACTCCCTTTGATCTCCTCTCCAGTCCCGGAATGCAGGAAGTGATGTATGTTACATCACTTCCTGCATTCAGTGTCACTCTTCGGCTACAGAAGCTGATGAAGCAGATCTGTGCTTCATCAGCTTCTCTGGGGGTCCCTAGGTGACATTAGTGGTCTTGGTAGGGTTGCCACCTTTTCTTCAAGCGAAACCCGAACACTCTAGGAACACGTGGACATTTTTTTGGGAGAAGGAATCGTAGCTTATTCATATATAAATAGCGCCAAACAGTCATATGTAAAAATCACAGTTTAAACTATTTTCAGTGGGGGGTCAGTGGCCCCTGTCTTAATTTTGGTGGCCCCTGTCTGCTTGACATCTTGTGTCCGGGTTTCTGCTGCCATGAAACCCGGACACAGCATTCAAAACCCGGACTGTCCGGGTGAATCCTGGACAGGTGGCAACCCTAGGTCTTGGAGACCCCTGATGTCTTCATAAAGAGCACCTGTCATGTAAATTGGCTATCCCATAGTGGGCTCCTTAGCCCTCCCCCCATGTGATAGCAATAAGGTTGTGTAAAAAAAAAAGTAATACAAAAATTAAAGAATCATAAAAAATAAAATAAAGCATTAAAAAAATGTAAAAATAAATATTTTTTTAATGCCCTCCGCCCCCCACATACACACGCAGATATGCGTCGGGTGCGCCTACGTGCGAAAACAACGATTGCGCCTATTCTGCCGCGCATGTTACATATAACCGCGAACGTCGGAGTGAGTGCAATAATGCCATTAATCACTGATAACACAAAACTGATGAGTGGTAAAAGCGTTTTAAGCGTCGCCTATGGCCAATTTTCAGTGTTGTAATTTTTTTTCGATTTTGAGGGCGCACGCAATTTTAAAGCTTGAAATGTTTGGTGTCTATTTACCCGACGTGACCCCGTCTTTTATATTTTACTAAAAATATGGGTAAGAATAAATGTTTTTAACATAACGTAGGGAAAACATTTTTCTATTCTAAATTGACAGTACTTTTTTTCATTATATAGTAAAAAAAAATAACAATCCCCCCCAGTGATGATTATATACCTCAAAAAAGAAAGCTCTATCTGTCCCCAAATGTTAACATAAATTGCAAGGCTATAGTCCGGTCATGCTGACTGGTGACATTTTTGACTGACTGGTGAGACACCCTAAAATTTTTCAAGCCCTGATGATGACACTGTATTGCTCTTTCCCTCCATCCGCCTGCACTTATTGTTTGGAATCAGTAGAATGTCCTTGTGGCTTATCCTGCAATCTCAGCAGTTGTATTACAATGATAAAATGCTGCAGCAATGAGCAGGTAGGAATGTAAAAGTAGCAACAACACTTTCAATGATACTTGTATTGACGTATTACATAAGTCACGGTTGCCTATTTGTTCAGGTATCACGGCCTCTACAAGCCGGCCCCGAGAGTAGAGGTACACCAGCGTCTTCAGCAGAACCCGAAGGACTCGGAGGAGACGGTACAGACGAGCTTAGACATGTATTACGCTAATGCCGAGGAGCTGGAGGAATTTTATCAAGATGTCATTCACGTTAACGCTGATCAAGACCCATACACGGTCTTTGAGTTCATTGAGAGCTGCATTGTCAAGCCCCTTCCCATGAGCCTCCCCGGGGACCCTCCGTCTCCCTAATCACTGGCAGCACATACAGCGCTCCCTATTAGCTGAAATGAGCTAGCGCTGATCCAGAGGTTGTGTTTTTTATTCCACCCAAGGCTGCCAAGTTTCTGCACTCTCAGTGCCAGTAAGTTCAGCCGTGTCGCTGTGGAACACTTACCTCAAATACAAAGAGACGCTGTTCTCTTAGATTCCTCACAGTGTATTTCAAGGGGAATTAAATCTTTTATTTGACTGACTTCCATATTTGATTTATTGTCAATTTCTTTTCTTCTTTATTGTTATTATTATTGTTATTACAGGTATTTATATAGCGCTGACAATTTAAGCAGCACTTTACATAGTTGCACATTCACATCAGTCCCTACCCTCAAGGAGCTCACAATCTAAGGTCCCAATCTCACATACATACATAGAGGGCCAACTTAGACAGGAGCCAATTAACCTACCAGCATGTCTTTGGAGTGTGGGAGGAAACCGCAGTACACCCACACAAGCACAGGGAGAACATGCAAACTCCTTACAGATAGTGACCTGGCTGGGATTTAAACCAGGGACCCCCAGTGCTGCAAGGCAGAAGCACTAACCACTAACCTTTCTGTAGACCACACAATCATGGCATCACCCAAGGGTGATTGTCTTTTACACACCTCATTATCCTAGGCACACTTTCATGTCTTGATGTCATTGTGTTTGGGGTTGAACATTTGATTCGATTTGGATAGAATGGGGAAGAATTAGAACCCTGGATGGGTTTAGCTGTTATCTAGGGGCTCTTTAGAGAGATTTTGCCTCACTTAATGTCACAGTGCCAACCTCTTCACCAGACAGGAAGTGAGGGAAAATCTCCCATCGTGACCTGGACAGCAATAGAAATCTTAGAGTGTAAACATATATTGAATAGTCAGTTCTGAAGCCAAAAGGCTGGAAGTCATGGAGGGCTTTTTAGGCAATTATTGGACCTTCACAGACACTTAAAATTGTGTAAAAATATCATATTTTATTAAAGACATAAAAAAGATGAAACATAAAATGATACATAATATGAATATTGGTGCTCAGCCTAAACTGTATACTCATATACAGAGATGATGACCAAATGGGTGAAAAAGTCCAAAGAGTCTTTAATGATCCAATCCCAAAGGAAAAACAGCCAACAAAACATGTTTTGGTGCAACAACACCCCCCCCCCCCCCCCCCCTCCACTAAGCATCCTTGCTTAAAGCAGATTTTTGTTTCCTAAGGCATTGTTATCACCTCGTAGCTCATACCCACCCAAAAAAAGCTGATTGGTGAAAACAATATGTCAGGTTTCTAAAAATACAGCATAGTGCACTTTACGACCCTATCCAATAAAGAGTATTTGTTATTACATATTCAATATCCAATTTCTAATGTAAACTTTTCCTTTATTTAAGCATGTAAACACAATAGTGTATTAACTGTTTTATATCTACTCCTACTTTTCCCACAATATGCAGCCTTACTTAGATGCAAATATTGACACATATAAAACTTTTTTCTCAAAAATCAGAAAGTAAGCCCTCATTGCCATCTCTAACTATTCCACCTTGGCACTAGTGTATGTCTGCAGCTCTGCAGCATAACTATCACAAGATGGGCAGATATGTTTTCAACATGCATATGTGACTGGCAGCCTGCCTACTACAAGCTGTGCAAGCAGCATGGCAAGGGCCAATATCAGAATAACTGGCTGTCAAGGTTCAGACAAGAGAAGTGTTTGTGTTCACTGAGTATGCACTGATGAGTTTGGTGTGCATACTTGCACAATTACTACACAGAAGACTTTGGTTAGGTTTTGAGGGGAGTAACCCACAGAAGCCAATCATAATTCATTGTGTACTGGTTTATTTTTAACAGTTGTTTAATTAATTTTGATTGATGGCTTACTGTACTTAAAATCAATAACTCTTTATTAATGAATACTGATAATGTACTGTTTGATTATTCTAATAATTTATATAGTAAATTAGGAAATGTATATTTCTGCATTACTACTACTACTACTACTACTACTACTACTACTACTGTTCCTACTATGCCTGCCATAATAACTCTCTGGTTCACATTTGATGTGGTTAAACCAGTGGCACATGAGATGATATTTGCTCTGAAGCCCAAAAGGCTGTAGGGAGTAAAAAAAAGAAAGAAAAGGAAACAGTATTTAGTGGACAAATTAATACGGAGTTCAGGACCAGTCTGTCCAATTCAGGAGCCAGTAGGATTTAATGTTTGAGCCCGTTCCAGTAACAGCAACTAGAGTAAACTCTTAAAAGTTAGGAGCCAGCTATAATTCTTAAGGAGCATTAGCTAAATACTCTACATTTCAGATGCATCAAAACAGAAGGTTTACAAAGTCTTAGAGTTTGTTTTCTTTATAAAACAGTCACACGTTGGGTAAAAATAAAAACCTGTCCCTTACCAGCATGCTGCAAAGTGGGACCACTGTTCTCTGTGGGGAAGCAGTGGTTTCTTTGCAGAGGTCTGACACTCCCCCTGCTGAGTCAGAGCCAATCTCTCCAATCAGTGGCAAGCATGAGCTCACTCAGTAGTGCTGGCAGGGGGCAGGTGCTTCTAGTCAGACTGTGTCAGCTTTAGAAAAAAATAAACTGTAGGACATTGATCGTCCTATTGTTTTGATGCACTTGCAATGTTTTTAGCTGATTTAAACAGAAGGTTAAATGGAACTTTAAAAAATCATGATCATTCAACCCCCACCACCACCACCACCACCACCACCAGCGTTTGATTGTGTTTGGTAGGATTGATTTTACTGCCTGCACAGTAAACACATAGTGGGTTTTACTGTGATTTGTTTACTGTTTTTTTTCCATCTTATGGATTCTGCTTTTACCAGGAATGGAACCTGCAAAGCCTCTTCCATTTTACGTATGTGAATTATTATTCAAATACGAGTCTAAGGTCCCCTTATCATACACAAACAGCCCCTGAGAACAAATATACCTGATTATCTTATGACAACCTTACATTGGGTTTTTTAACAAAGCTCCCCACACATGGGAGTATGCATGATGATGCCAGTGCAATGATTAAATAATCTAGGGAAAAGCAGTTGTTGTGAGCATGCAAATTTAAATATTGTTACGTTCATTGTCAGAAGCTGTTGCCCAAGCAATCTTTTTAATTAATAAGAGCAATTTGCCATTCGTGCCAACAAATGAAGGCTGGCAGTGTAAGTCGGTGTATGAAGCAAAAGTAGGTGATTATTAAATTGTAATGAACTGTCAGAATGTAGAAATTGCTAGACAAAAAAGCCCAATAGGTCTTTTCAGTCTGTACTGTGCTGTGGTATGTAATTATATCATTAGCTTGATTTCAGGTGTATTTCACTAACTGTAACATACTTCTCTGTATAATCCATTGCTGTACTGGTTGTGTGTATAGGACACCATGAGCAAAAGCAATGGAAAATCCAGTTATTGTTCAAACTTAGTCTAGAAATAATAATATGAGGGCTTAAAGGAGAACAATGAAACTGTCACACGTCAGCTCAATATATCGGGAAGTGAGCGGACACATACCGTTGCTCGCTCACTTCTGGATCCTGTCCCTGCAGAGAGCCGTCACGGCTCCCTGCAGGGATCCCCCCCCTGCTCCGATCCTCCAGCGCTGACTGGCGGAACGGACGGGGGAGGGGGGGACAGCTGGCTCTGCCTTTAGATAGGCAGAGCCAGCTGTCATTGACCCAGCTGGGTGGATCTCGACAGCATTGTCGGGATCCGTCCCGGCTGAGGCGGTCTCAGTATACCTCGAGCTGTAGCCCTCTATATACTGAGCTTTGGGTCACGGGAGGATGCTAGTTTATGTCCCCCTGTGACCCTTGGGGGAACTATGGGGAAAAACCCTTACCCCATAGTTCTCTTTTAAGGAATTCTCCTTTTGGACTGTAATTACATGAAGTGATCAGAAGCAGTTGCTCTCCAAGCTTCTCCCGGGTACCCTACTAAGGAAGACCTGTTGTGATGTTGGAGCTGCCATACCAGAGCCAGTGGGCTTGCTTGGAAATCCTTGGTACATATGGACTTTTGAATGAGCATTTAGATCCCAGCACCTCCTCAATATTTGGATCTGACAGGAGTTCTAGCTTTCTACTACTCTGCCAGAAAACAGGTTCCCCTGCCACTTGCACTCCCATCCACAGCCTAGGTCATCCACCTACTATTGCTGGCAGCAGGAGGGGATTACGTGTTATATTCCAAATGAGGCAATTATGTCATAATGCAAAGCACCTACGAGTCTGTGGCCCACACTGTCATTATATACTATGCAAATGCACCTATTAGCCTATTCCTTTGCTGGCTGCAGGTCAATAAGAGTCAGTATGGGATCCAGGATCTTCAAGTGTGGATGGCAGAAGGACAGCTTGGGATATGGAAGATGACCAATATGGATTCAAAGCACCCCTTGACCAGTTGGCAATCTATAGCGCCTCTATAGTGGACTGCATGTTCCCATTTCCAGATCTCCTGGGAGATTCTGTCATTTCCGATTACAGATGTTCCTCTATGTGGCAGAGATTGCTGATACTGCCTTGTGTCCAGGTGGGCCAACCCTTCCTTGTTCCACCACACATGACAGGTGTCACTGTTAGAGGGACACTTTGAAGGTCTCAGCTCTAAAACAGATCTCGCCAACAGAGCCCCTGACAAATAGTAGAAGCTGTCAGATTCTCCAGCAACTACCATAAAACTGCCATTTGAGCTGTGGGTGGACTGACCCTTTAAAGAGTACTTGACCACGCCTCCACTGGTGCCGTATCAGGGTACCAGGAGCCAAAGGAAGCCCAGAGCTGCTGATCACACAGGTTTTTGCATAGAAATTCAGCCAATAAAAGCCTGGCCTTGTATAGACTACCAGGATACGGTGTGACAGAGGCTGACAAGCAACCAGTCAGATGATACATGTGAACAGCGATCTGCTGGACAGAAATGACGTGGAATTTGGCACAGAGAGTGCTACGTACCTGATAGAGCAGACACTCCATAGCGCTCTGTTGAGTCCTCCTGGAGCGAAGGTGCATCCGCTTCATTTATTCTACTGATTAATATTCTGTCTCTCTTCCTGCGTCCGCTCCGTACAGATCTTCTCTATTATGTTAGTTCCCCTCGAGTGGCTCTGTGGATAATGCGAGCCCTCGGAGGGGAGGGTCTGGCTGCCTTTTTAGCTCA